TGGATCACATCTTAATTTGATTTAACTTAGCCCTTCCATTGGATCACATTTTAATTGGATTTAACTTAGCCCTTCATTGGATCACATTTTAATTGGATTTAACTTAGCCCTTCATTGGATCACATTTTAATTGGATTTAACTTAGCCCTTCATTAGATGACATCTTGATTTGATTTTATTCTGTAATGATTCTGTAATTTGATTTTGTAATGACATGACTCCATAAAAGGACTGTCATCGGATGACATTATGACTGGAGAATCCCTTTCACCCATAAATTTCCCATTTTGGCCTCATTGTGTTATGTAATATAAAAATTTCATGACAAGATGGCATGGATCCACAGGTATGCCACATGCCTTATGTTGATCACTGTCTGGTCTCGACATGTGGTCGGCAAACCTTTTCTTTTTTTTAAAGGAGACATTAGTTTTACAAAGTATATGATTTTATCTGATAAGAGAAAAAATAATAAATAAAATTTAAAAAAAAAAATGCTTCTACCACATCTATGCTCTACTCCGAGCCACTTTTTGCCTACTTATTTCTAATCAGTGTCTACAAAACTATAGGTGTCATCAAACTATGAAAAAAGTTTGATCATATATTTCCATTACGCCAGTGCTTTCCGAGTTTATTTGCCCCGACACAGAACTCATTTTGATAGTTCAACCAAAGATATAAATTACAAACTCTTATTTGTCTGAGTTGTAATAAATTTATTATAACCCTGAATTAAGATTTACAAAATTCCATTTGAATTTCTCTTGACTACTGATGTTCTTTCATTTGAAATTACCTTGACTTTAAAGTAAAAAATTGTAGACATTTTTTTTTTAAAAAGGAGAGCATCATTTCATGGATCAATTACACTGAACAAATACATCATCCATCAAATTCAACAAAAATAATACGTTTGATTTAACAGAAGTGACAAAAACATTTATGAAATATGCAGTATAAAATCTTCTTTTTTTTTCCACACAAAAAACACTTTTAACAAATATTTTTTAAAAACTTAACACAATGAATATTCCAGATTTTTAAAAAAATACCATGAAGTTATTGAAGTTAACAGCAAGCTGGAGAAAATTAAAAACAGCACATCTTTATTTGTATGAATACGAAATTTTTAAAATCTATTCGAACAAGAACAGTTACAAATAGAGTGAGCTCCTTATGACAACACTGGTACATGCACTCTTTATGGCAACACTGGTACATACACCATGAAAAATGAGAATTTTTTGTGACCTTTTATTGTAAATGCATGATGGTGGATGACATGGAATTTTTTTTTTTTTTTATTAACAGCATGACCTTAAAAAGTGTTACCGTTTAATGGATGCACAAGTTCAAAGGAGTGTATGACTGAAGGTGACACACCACGATAGAGTTAACAAAAAACAGAATCAGCGACACACCTTATTAATGTACAAGATAGAAGCAAAGAGCTGTTCATTAATGAAAAAAAACAATAATATATCAATTTTAAGTTTCAAGATTTGGAATGTCTGCTCAATAATGAAAGAAGAATTTTCTGTTTTTTAGTTTCAATTTAAAAAAAAACTAAATAAAAATGATAAAAATAAGATAGGAGTCTCACACAGAATGGCAGAATATTCATAATTATTCATCAGCAATGACACCAACACATTATTTTAAATATTCACTGCAAATAAATTGTGGTACAGTGGCTGGGGAAAAAGCTGAAGTAAAAAACAAAACAAGAATCAAATTAATTTACCAATATAATATAAATAGCATCAGTATCACACATTCTGCTGTGATTCCTTGAACATATATGGATACAAAACCTACTCATTTTGTAAAGCCTGACAACAATATAAACCAGTGGGGTGAGTCCGGGTGTCGACCTCATGGGGAGACCATTTGTTTTTTTCCCCCAATGGGCCCATAAACTTGTCTTGACTTCCCCCCTTTCAAACCCAGTTTTAAGCATTCTCAAGATAAAGTTTGATTAGTTGTTTAATTTGTTCAAGAAGTACCTCAGTAGGTTCATTATTTCTCAAGAGTTTTAGATATCTAACATCTCCAGTGGTCAATTGTCTTTTTGTGATGGAAGCATTAACTTAGCAAAGGTAAAGTGAGACAATTTTTCAATTGCTGGTTTTAAGTATCTCAGTAGAAACTTCATTGATTGTCCATATTTACATGTCTCTTTGCTGAGAACAAAGCCGGTAAGCCACACTTTAAAAAACCTTACAAATACACCAAATACAATGATGAGAATGGAACAAGAAGCATTCCATGGTGCAGACTATAATGTATGTCTTACTACTCTTACTCTGAAGCCTTTCACTGCTTCCCCCTGAGCAACCCCTCCCCTCACTTTGAGAACCACTGCTATAAACAAAAATTCTGTTAATTTTGAATGATGTGTCACTGTGTTAAGTTTAATGCTTGAAAATGGTTATTAGGTGACCTTAAACCATTGACTTGTAAAGAGCTGGGAAAAGTCCAAGACTAATTTAGCAATCCTAGACAGCAAACCCAAAGCAAAATTGACACGCTGAGGTCAGAAGTACAAGGGAATCTTGGTGCAAACTATGGGACAATACAAAACAGCTGCAATGTACAGCCAACAAAATTAGAGCGAAATAAAAAAAAGATCGTTATGTGTAAAAAAAACTATGCCAGGTCCGCACATTAAATCAGACGAGTTCAGCGCACGAACTGATTGAACCGAAATCACAGCAACAAAAGTTACAAATTTAATACGTGAATGTAACATAATTGAGAATGAGCAGAATAACATTTTTCAAATGGAAAGAGAAAAATAAGCTTCAGTTAAAAGCCACATCAAAAAAACCAAAAAAGTGTCGGTTGACTTTAAACATTTAAATTAAAAGATAATCTCATTGATTTAGAAACAACATCAAAGCACAAGCTGACGAACCACCTCTCTTCCCTCCCCCACCCCAACCACCTCTCTTCCCTCCCCCACCCCAAAAACCTCTCTTCCCTCCCCTATCCCAACCATCTCTCTTCCCTCCCCCACCCAGATTCCTTCCCCAGTATCGGCAAGGTGTATACAGTCAGTTTTACTCTTAGAATTAAATGAGTAACCATGCAGTTATTTTAAAACATCTGTTTATATCACCATGAATAAGACACATCATATTTAACACCAAAATTTAGATTGGTTCCGTCCTGAAATCCCCATTGCGCCAAATAAGACCTAAACCTGAAACCAATCGTCACCCAATCATGAGTGCACACACAGTTGCTACTGACCAACCAAAGTTTGTTGACAATCCTGTACAGTAAATCAGATCTGTTCTCTCCCCCCCCCCTTACTTCCTTGCTGCAACCACAGATCAGGACCTCAATCACAGTTCAAGCACATTGTGGTTTTATGCCTGCATTAGGCAAATCAGCCAGTGTGTATCAAATGTATAGTCACCTTGTGTGTATAATATGTATATAGTCATGTTACAATGAGTTGAAGAAAAGTCATCACAAAATGGGATTAAAGACATTGGTGTGGCTGGCACCTTAGGACAGGGAGCTGGATGACTTCTGCTGGGAGGGGGGGGGACAGTCCCCCTACATATACAGCATTGTTCTACGTATAGCCCACTCCTGTTATAAGTTACACTACACCCACAGTTAACATTCCTTGCATGTACCAGTATATTTATTTATTTTCATATTGCAACATCCTGTTTAAAGGGTTTCTGACGGGATCGCACACATTTTTTAATAAACAAAAAACTTCCTGACAAATTCTACGCCATCGTGTACAAACATTGGAATACAACTTTAAAAAAATAAAAAATTTTCAGATAATCAGAGATTGTCGCAAACTGTTGCTATAAGCCATGACCTTTAAAGTCTAGTTAATGAAATGTGCTGAATTATTAAGCTCAGTAACTCAAATTCATACACAGTTTCTTAAGTGTTATCACGTAACAACTACACATACACAGAAGCAAAATTAACCTTACCATGATATATTGGAGGGAACAAAATGGCTTTTAACTATGGCAATCGAAAATTATTTAAACTAGAATTTTCAGTAGGGAGGCATTATACAGTCTGATGGGAATAACGCTCAACGTTATCATTGTCTGATAAAACTACAGCTGTGAACTAGATTTAGGCTGTGAATGTTTGGCATGGAAAAGTTGTTTGGTGTAGAGAGTATATGTGTAGCTGTATCTATTATGTTGAGATTTTTGTGACATATTTGGGTGTTGAGATTTTTGTGACATATTTGGGTGTTGAGATTTTTGTGACATATTTGGGTGTTGAGATTTTTGTGACATATTTGGGTGTTGAGATTTTTGTGACATATTTGGGTGTTGAGATTTTTGTGACATATTTGGGTGTTGAGATTTTTGTGACATATTTGGGTAAGGGGAAATGAGTGTTACTTTGGTTGCTATGGTGTGGAGTGATGGTTGTGCAGAAGTATTGGATTGCATGAGTTGTTTCCACCTTTAATAAAGAGTCGTTTATTCTAAGAATCAATGGTTTGCTTCATGACTGTAACCCTAGACACCCTATACAACAAACCCTAGACACCCTATACAACAAACCCTAGACACCCTATACAACAAACCCTAGACAACAAACCCTAGACACCCTATACAACAAACCCTAGACACCCTATACAACAAAGCCATCAAACTTGGCAATTTCCGGTTCGTAACAACTACCATTAGCAATAAAAAAAAAATAATTTAGCAGAATTATGGGCTGTATAGAATCTATATTTGTTTTAAATTTAAAAGAGTTTATTATGATAGCACTATCATTATATCATACAGAGGCGTAGCGAGGGGGAGGGCGGGGGGGGGGGGGGACAAATGTCCCCGGGCCCAAGCTGGTTGGGGGCGCAGAAATGTGCTTTCATGTTATATTATTGGTAAAATTGATGAGTTTGAGAGTTGAAAAAAAGAAAAGAGGGGCACTTTAAAATGGATTAATTTAAAAGAGTTTATTATGATAGCACTATCATTATATCATACAGAGGCGTAGCGAGGGGGAGGGCGGGGGGGGGGGGACAAATGTCCCCGGGCCCAAGCTAGTTAGGGGCGCAGAAATGTGCTTTCATGTTATATTATTGGTAAAATTGATGAGTTTGAGAGTTGAAAAAAAGAAAAGAGGGGCACTTTAAAATGGATCTTGTCCCCGAGCGTGAAACACCCTCGCTACGCCTCTGATATCATAATACACAGTTGGATGGGAGTAGCGGTCAATGTTGTTCCCAGCTGACTGTGTATAGCACTTAGCCTTATTCCCAGCTGATAAATAGTTCACTACCAATAGCAATCATTATTATTCCCAGCCGACTGTGAATAACCAACCACTCCACCATTCTACTAAACAAAATATTTGATGCCATGATCCAAAGTGTGACTCAAACTATAAGACACCAGTTCAAAAATAAAGTCATTTAAAAATCAATATTTCTCTCACAATATTGTTTCAGAAGGCGACCTCACAGAAATCCCTTGGCAACCCCATTTGAGGTCAGGTCCCGTGGGCTGGGAACCTGTGCTTCAGTAACTTATTTTATCTCTAGATGTTCATGTGTCAAAGTACCTTTATTTTATGGATGTTGTTTTTTTTTCCAAAGCTAGGTAGTAAGATATATTAACATGTTAAATTGTTTCTGAATCGAAACGAACGCCTGGTTACAAATTGATAGAAACATTGGCTTGTAAATATCTCCTGATGGATCAAAAACTAGAATTTGGGACCTGCCCAGAAGGCAAAACTCATATAAAGTGTAAAGAAATCCCGGCAAGAGGAAAACTTTATTCCCATTTTCACGGGATAAGCAAAATTCTGAGAAATATAAACCCAAGCTGCACCTCTAGTTTAAAGACTTACATTGGGGTGAAAAAAGTGAGGCATATATTCAGAGCCATTCAATATACCTTATGTACAGGATAAATTCATCAATCAAAAGGGCCCAAAATATTTTGTAAAACATTTGCCTCCCAACATATACTCTCCCCCTCCCCCCCCTCCCCCTCAATGGCAATGCTTTTTAAGAATGAATATGTTGTGAACAGTGAATTCTGAATAGTTATTAGTACCTGTAACTATGACATGTAAACACAATGAAAGGTAACTGAAGATTTTCACCTTCTGAGATGCTTCAGTACAAGGCCACTGAGGAAAATTATGTCATCTGCATTCAATAAATAATGTGAGAGATTCATCACAATAAAAAAATGTCATCTTGTGAATGTCCTACCAGTTTTATTTGAAACTATTACCTTGCAGATGAAAATAATAATTGCACATAAATTACCCAACATTTATGCAGAAAAATTAAGGTATGATTGTAATTTGCTAAATGGACTTCAATAAATTTGACAGTAAACAGACTCAGGCTTATATATCCATTACTGGCTGAGATATTACCCTGATTCTAATAAAAGCCTCACAGCTTTACTTTCCCCACATACATCACAGATTGAAAGACAAATAGGATCCGAATATTTGAAATAAAAACACATGACACTAAAGAACCAAAGAGGAAGCATCAGGAATGAAGAGTAATAAAATGAAGCCAGTGTGTCACCATGTTAATGCAACGTTTTCAGAGACCCTGTAAAACCAGTCCAGAGACCCTGTGAAACCAGTCCAGAGACCCTGTGAAACCAGTCCAGAGACCCTGTGAAACTAGTCTTGAAATCCTGTCAAACCAGTCTTGAAATCCTGTGAAACCAGTTCATAGCTCAGTAAGGGGTGAGGAGTTTAGAGCTCTGCTTATTGGTCCTGTCGTAGACATCAATCTCAAAGTCATTGTCATCAGTGTCCGTATCAGACGCCACAGAGTAGAACGACCCCTCTCCCGAGTGTCCATCCACATCCCTCCACCTGCGTCCAGCCCGAGCTCTCTTCCTCCTCATGCAGGACCGTACGGCCACCAGGCCCAGCACGAGAACCATGACCACAGCCAGGACACCAAGTCCTAACCACAGCGAGTACTTGGACAAACCTTCCCCTTCACTGGGATCACCAGTGCTGCCACTGATGAAGTCATAGGTCCCCGGCTTGCCTCCTAGTGCAATGATGGTCTGGTTGATCTGATGGCTGACGTTGTGAGGGAGGTTAGCCAAACTGTCAAAAGAGAGAGCACAGAAATATTACTAATTAGCACAGAAATCAATAATGAAAATATTTTTGAATAGCAGACTTGTCAAAAATATAAAAAATTAGTTAATAGAAATATATTTTTTGGTAGTTTTGAGGAATATATGTTTTGCCGCACTAGTTATTTATAGAGCTTTACTTTACACATATACTGCTGGTCATCTATTGCTTCCTGGTCTATTTTTTAATATTGTTATCATTATTAGTGGTGGTTTTATATAGCGCGGTACCCCAGCCCTAGTCTCACCACGCTGTACATTCAATTAAACAAACATAATCATGAACTTAAAAATTAACATACATTAATTAAACAAAACAAAACAAATGTATATTCCCTCCACACATTCAAGAACTATTTAGATGTCAAGCCATGGATGGCAGCCAGCAGCATCATTTATTGGTCAGAGGGGGAAATCAGTCAGGATAGTAGAGTTTAAAGAGATGTTTTTTTAATTCAGTTTTGAAGGCTGTGATGGTCGGTATATTGCGAATGTGTAGTGGAAGAGAATTCCATTGTTTGGGGGCACAGAAAGAGAACGACCGTATGTTTTTGTGAGAGTCTTGGGGACAGAAAGAATACATGCATCTGTGAAGGAGCGAAGCTGTTGAAGGGGTAAATAGACGAGAGAAGTTTAGTTAGATAGGAAGGGGAGGAATTTGAGAAAAAGTTGTGGCAGAGAACAGAGTTTGTACTCAATCCGTGCTTGTACAGGGAGCCAATGAAGTGAATGAAGTAGTGGTGTGATGTGATCACGTTTTTTTGTCTTTAGAATTAGCCTAGCAGCTGAGATTTGAACCTTTTGTAATTTTTCTAAGAAGTTTTTTGGAGAACCTGATAGAAGAGAGTTACAACAGTCAAGATGAGAGAGAACAAGAGCACAGACTAGGGTTTTTGTTGCGCTGTGCGGTAGTGGCAGATGGAGCTGATCTGACGAATAGCGGTGTATGCAGAGCAACAAATGTGAGAGATATGATAATCAAGTGACATGTTGTGAGACAGAATATAACCAAGATTTCTAGAAGAGGATGTAAACTGTATGTCGGAGTTATCTACATGAAATGAAGTGGGGAGAGCTGAGTTAGAGGATGATTTGTGATCGTGAATAAGGAGTGCTTCCGTTTTGTCATCGTTAAGCTTCAACTTGCTGAGTGTCGTCATCCATGTCTTCACATCATCAGTGCTCTCCCGCAAAGTCCGGACAGAAGAATCGACACAATTTCCAGTCATCTTGACTAAGTCTTGCCATTGGAACAAAAGGCAAGGATGAGAGAGTGAGGGTGACGAATTGAGCAACCCTCCCTCACTTTAAACAAAATACTGCTCAAGTCAAATCTACTACTCTTGCCTTGGTCATCCTCACATGTGAAGAACGAACAACAACACTTTCAAACAGTTGGACAAAACAGCTAAAATATACAATATATAAAATTAGAATCTAACAGTAATATCTTTAGAATAGAAAATGCACCAAACCTGAAATTCCCATGATTGTCTTGGACAACCCAGAAGCTGTCCAGCACAGTGTTGCCATCTGGAGAAAATAGTGTCCACTCCAAGTGACTTGCATTGATGACGGAAAGAGAGCCAAAGCTATTGTCAGTTGTGTTCATCAGATGGAAGGCTGACCACTCGGCTGGTGTGGAGGAAACATTTATTTATCGAGCATGCACAGCAAATATTGGAAATTCCCACAAAATAACATATAAAGTTTGTAGATCTTTAAAGTAACTATCTTGGAGGAGAAGCTAAAACAATTAACTTTGCACTAATGGAATAAAACTTCTGACAGTTTGCATCATTTAAAACTATTTCAATCAGATCATAATGTCATGATTATGTCTCTTTTGATAAAATTTGTATGTAGGCTGGGCTACCGCGCTATATAAGACGTCTTATTATTATTATTATCTTGGTGGTACAAATGTATAGTCAAATTACCAGGAAATTTTTTATTTAGATTTCAAAAGACTAATAAGTGGTAAAAATCAGACCTGGTCACACAGGAATTCACAGTACAGTACAATATATTCTCATAATAGTACTTATCCATCTAAAAATTGTACAATACTGTATTGCAATAGTTAATAAAATACAGTATAATGTATAGAATAACTAACGCAAGATATATTGGGAGAGGGGAAGAGAAGTGATGGAACAAATACCAAGGTATTAAAATTGTATAGCTGCTAAATGACATCTAAAAATAGTTTTTAAGCTCAGCTAACTAGATCTTATGGAATATGTCAAAATCTAACGCTGCTGTGCAGAGCAATTGAGAATGCATTTTTAAAAAAAAATGTATTCTTGAAAAAGGGAGAGCACTGATGTTAACATTAAAATCATCCATGCAATGTGCACGTCCAACTTGAAAAAGGAGCGCTGATGTTAACATTAAAATCATCCATGCAATGTGCACGTCCAACTTGAAAAAGGAGCGCTGATGTTAACATTAAAATCATCCATGCAATGTGCACGTCCAACTTGAAAAAGGAGCGCTGATGTTAACATTAAAATCATCCATGCAATGTGCACGTCCAACTTGAAAAAGGAGCGCTGATGTTAACATTAAAATCATCCATGCAATGTGCACGTCCAATTTGAATGTCAGAGTTGATTGGACAATGGAACATCCATATATAACGTAAGGATATAAACAACAACAACATATTTTCATACAACACCCTGTCAACGTAACACGCATTCCAGATATTATGTAGACATTGAGGATGTGTATAAGTTCGTGGGAGGAGGGGAGGTCACCAGAATGTACCTAAATTTATGCATATGATCTACAATAATTATCCTGACAGTCTCTAATAGAGCCAAATGTCACCTAAAAATATGTTAAATCCATGAGTTATTACTAGGCCTATTAAGGCTATACAAATATCACCACATTTTTTCGCAGTTACCTGCAAACTAGTGCTTTCTATTTTCATAAATAGCTTGCTAGAAATCGCTGTAGCAATAATTAGCCTAGTGGCAAAACACTGTAAACTTTCTGTGCTGGGGGGGTTATTATTTGGTTTGGTGACCAACATCCCCACCCTAATTGGTGGGGGAAAATTTTTTTTAAAACCATGTCTATCAAAATCATAGTTATGACGGGTCTTGGCGTAAGATCGTAAGAGATATCTCAAAATTGCAAATTGTACGCCAAAATTGTAAGGGTAGACAGGTCTGTAAAACGTAAGCATACCTGGGGTTGCTGGATTCGGTGACGTGGTACTATTGTCCTCAGGGGTTGACAGAGGAGGACTCCCTGACCCAATGATGACTTCAATGGGGGCTCTAGGCTGATGGTAGGTTGTGTTTATAACAACACCTTTGTACTGAGGCCATGACCGTTCATACAGCGTGTGACGGGATGTGATAATTAGATCTACGGCAAAATGGTAGAAGATGTCTTCTAAACTGTTAATAGACAATGTAATAGCTTTTGCTGACTACAGGTAACAAAGGTAACAGAGTAGATCTAAAATTGATTAACTTTGTTTCTTACTATTAAAAAAAACCTCAATGCAGTAAAAATTTCCTGAGGTAGAAATAAAAACAGATAAAGCTTAATTTAATTACCAATGACTGATCCAAAAGTACATCTTAGTTTTTCTGGCAGTAATATTTACAAGTCAAGCTTTTTGCATTTACCCGTGTTTCACTTTGGATGTATTCTGTGCACAGTCATCAACACCGCTGACACCAAATGAGCAATACATCGGGTGGCTGCCGAAGGCTATGACCCATGGAGTTTCCTCCCTCTTCTCGTTGGCCTCTGTCAAATCTTTCACCAGCCAGTCTCTCTGCAGATTGGCATTCTTGGCATCTGAGTCAAACAGGACATCAGTGGAATAGCTGTTGATAAATTGCAACAAATAAATTGGATCTTAAATGCATTACACACATATAAATTCATTAGAAACTAATGATGAAAAACCTGGCTACCTTTAATTCTCAAATTTTTATATTTAAACATTTTTGCTAATGGCACAGCTCATGCTTTGTCAGTGTACATTTTAAAGAAATTTACCTGATAAGATGCACTGGTCCAATATTCAGACTGTACCACAGTTTGTTAGGAGACATTGGCCATTCTGCACCAGGCATGGAGAATATGTTTCTATACATGTACAATCCATCTTCATTGTCTGTGGTATCTAATGAGGAAATCATAATGTTGCACAGAGATAAACACAGGCGCATTCACAAGCACAACTAATCCTTGCATGAAACCTTTGGTTTCTATAAACATCACAAATGTAAAATACTTTTAAGCATGAGAGTGAAGGTGAGCAGCAGTCTCACATGCATGGCAGACACTCAACAGATTCAAACTGAGGTGATATCAGTATTTTGCTATACCTTTCCTGCCCGGGGCTGTCATGAAGGGTAGGAAAGACGCGGCCTGTGCTATCTGTGACAGGAATGATGTGTCTTTCTATGAATAGAGCAAACAAAACCTTAGGTTAGATATTAGACATTTTAATGTGATAACAAACACAATAATTGCCATAACATATGCGTTAATTTTGTAAGTATAGCTTTGTAAACAACCAAAGTGGTGTTAACTTCCCATTCTATAGACACACAGGTGGCCTGATGGAGATGTTAAAACACCTTTAAAAATCTTAAATAGCATCTGAATATAATAAGTGCAAAATTAAAAAATAAATAGCCACGGGAGAAAAAGTGTGTGGGGCGAGTGGTGGCGATAAAATACAAATGGTACAGTTTCATCAATTTATTCTTTGTATATCTTAATCTAAAACTTCTCTATCTTGATCTGACTTAAGGGATACCTTTATGGGAGAGCAGTTTCATTGCTTGAGCATACTCACTTGTTCGAATTTGGGGACCAGTTTGGCACTGAGGTCTCCGTTGTAGAGCAAAGCATTGTAATCACCTCTCCTAACTTTTTTCACAATTGACTTGATTGTTGTTTCAGAATCCAGATTACTGGCCACTAAAAAATGTGGTGACCATGTCTGGAACAAAACCAAAATGGTATTCTGAAGTGAAGTAAAGTAAGCAGAGGCAAATTGAAAACCTACTGTTAACTGGTCTCTCCCACCCACCCCACCCAGCAGGGGGAATGGTCATAGCTTTGTGGCTTGGGAAAGTTAAAGCAAGAAAATCCTACATTAGGGTCTCATCAAACAAAATGCTCTAGTGATCTATTTAACACAAATTTGCTCAAATGTATCATAAAAAATTTTTTAAAAAAGCAACTGGTACAGACCCTTTTTTAAATGCAACAAAAAAAAAATTAATTAAAATATGAAGTCAGCATCTATAAAATTGAACAGTTCTTTATTTTAATTCTTTTTTTTTGAAGTCTCTTGCTGTAAATAGTATTTCTAAAAAAAATATTTTTGAACTGTGTATACCTTTTTTAATGGTTTATCCATAAACCAATAACACACTTACCTCATTGCAGGTACCAGGTGTTTTAAAAATTAACGATTGAATTCCCACATCATGGTTTGTGACTGGACGAAAGTAATATGTTGTTGAAGGCAACAGTCCCTGGAAAATTCACCATATCATTTGCCCATTTGTTATTATCTTCAATATAAAAATATTAAAACATAACCCACCATTTTATTATAAAATAAAAGAGAACATGTAGGCACAGAAAATGGAAGCGCCACATGCACAAATGAGAACAACAACCTAAATCAAATTCAGAAGAAGCAAAATTCAGAGAAATTTGTTACAAAAGACATTTGGTGTCCAGATAAATGGGCACGAATTAATTGAGATAACTTATGACAAACAAATATGAGACGCAGACTTGAAAACATTCAGACCTTTAAATCAGCTCGGTGAATATATTTATAGCTCTTGTTTTCAGCATAATTTAGCTCCATGTCTCTTCCCTCTGCCTGAAGGTCAAGATTCCAAGGATGAGCTGCATACCTGACCCCCATCTTACAATGTCCCCTTGTTGCCCACATGACCGTCACATCAAATACTGAGCCACCGTAGGCAAGATGGACTTGTTCTGGTGTGCACCAAACTACATCACAAACATTATTAATACTATAATTATTCTTAATTTAGAAAAAAAAAAAAAAACTCTTCATTCAAAATTCAATACAAAAATCAATGTAATGGTTTTTCTTTCTAAGCTCTATGTTTGACCGTCACATCAAATACTAAGCCACCGTAGGCAAAATGGACTTGTTCTGGTGTGCACCAAACTACATCACAAACATTATTAATACTATAATTATTCTTAATTTAGAAAAAAAAAAAAAAAACTCTTCATTCAAAATTCAATACAAAAATCAATGTAATGGTTTTTCTTTCTAAGCTCTATGTTTCCTGTCCCAATCTAATATTATTTCTTACCATCATATCTGGAATTTTTATATACATAACATCAATACATGCCAAGTTATACAATTTACCCATATTTTTTAACATTTAAAAAAAAAAATTCAGAGTTAAACAGCCATACAGGATTTTTCAAAGGGATTATAGGGGAAAAAAAATGTGCACATAACATTCAAATATGGTAGTGCAATAAATTCAATTGACTAAATGATGAAACAATTACATTGTTTTTAAACAAAGCAAAATTAAAAAATGACACTTGTTTGGGTTTTTTAAAACTAATCCAAAAATTATCAAGAAGGCAAAGATTGCATGTATTCGAAACAATGATAGTTAAATGAAAACTTATAAATTTTGTTGAATTTTTTTTTTTTTAAATGCACTGATTTCAGTTTTCCAGGAAAAATTAAAAAAAAAACCAAAGCAAATGAGGCTCATTGTTTCCACATATCCTCTATTCTTCTACCCATCTGTAGAAATTTCTTTGCATCTTGTAAAATTAAAAGTGTGGCACATTGCAGATTTTTATTTCTTCATAAATGTGTAAATTTGCGTATAGAAAAAAAACCCATACTTCTTTCATCTTCTTGTGTCATCCCATCTCCATCTAAAGGCTCTGTTAGCTCTGAAATATCTTTAATGTAGTTTTCCACACAGTATCCAGATTTAACCATTATAATGACCCAGAGCAAAACGATGCAAAGTTGTGAGTACATTTTCATCTCTCTCATTCTATGTGAACCTAAAATAAATGGAAAGAAATGCCAATTGATCATTCATGGAATATTTTTTTTTTTGGTTATATAATACAAATATAATTTGTACTCTGCTGTAAACTATTCATCCTTATAATTAATAGAATTATGAATTTTATCTTAGATTAATTAAATTTACAATTGTTTGCTGTGGCTATCATCAGTTTTAATTGAGTTAAGTTTGCATCACTTGTAAACACAATTAAAATATTTAAAGTTTAACTTAAATAAACTGGAAAAGACACGAGTTAAGGGCCATCCTTGAGTGAAGACATGCTTATTTGGCCGTTTTTTTACCCAAAGTGAGCTGGTGGGGCGAGATGAACCCACCTTGAATAATTGGAGTTACCAATGGCGCAATGTTTGTATGATGTTATTGCACATGCACAATAAATCCATTGCTTCCAATTTGCCCTTTTTGTTGACAAAATCTCAATGTCATGAGATTACAACTTAATCTTAATAAAAGATGAAATACTCAATAAATGTTGATATATTTAATAATCTAGTAAAACTTAGACTATATGAAGAGAGGGCATTTGTTATTTGTATTTTTGTGTCAATTCTTATAATTATAACACTTATATTACACATGTAATAGATAGACCTCAAGTGTTTATATCAATAGAAAGGAAATTGAATGTATTTCTATAAAATAACTTTGATAAAAATTTCAACTATAAAAGAATTTTTTTTTTTTGACAACAGCTCAGACAAAAGTAGATTTTAAAAAAATTAACTAATGTCCTCTTACAATATTTTTCTACACAAAAAGCATATTCAATAAACAATAAATCTTCAAATTTTCTTCAAGTTTCATTAAGAAAACAAATAATTTATACACATTTTATTTAACTCAACAGATACGGCCAGAAAAATGCAGCGTGAGTTTTTAATAAATACCATCAAAACATATTCTCATTATCCTGAGCCAATTTACCTATTTGCAGGCATATAGAAAACATTTTTCACCTTAAAATACGCCAAAAACATGGGGTTGGGGGGAGGGGGGCGCTAATAAAAATTATGAGATGAAATTACAGTCATTCGAAAAAAAAGGGGTGCATCTTATAAGACCACTGCATCCTATAAGTTACCTATTTGCAGGCATATAGAAAACATTTTTCACCTTAAAATACGCCAAAAACATGGGGTTGGGGGGGGGGGGGCGCTAATAAAAATTATGAGATGAAATTACAGTCATTCGAAAAAAAAGGGGTGCATCTTATAAGCCCACTGCATCCTATAAGTGGGGTATATGGTAAATGCTAGACCTGAAGGGTTAAATATCATTGGAAATGGAATTAAATGTGGTTTTATAACTGATTTTAGAATTGTTACCAGAATTTTAAAAAAATTATTAGTGAATAAGTTATTTAAAAAAGGAAAATTGAGAGTAAAAATTATTGAAAATCTTCAAAACACTACCAGACTATTTCATAGTTTATCCCTTTCAAAAATCACTCCTAGCATTGTTAGACTGATAATAGATCTAATGAAAAATAATATATCCAAATGTTTTCAAACTGGTTGAAATATAAAAAATTGCCTACTTTATAGTAAAACACACCAATCAGTTAAAAAATCAGTGCAAAGTTACAATAAATATAAAATAATTACATTGCCGTTACCCTGAGTAAAATTATAAACCTTATGCTGTGTTTTTAAAATAAAAGATCTTGATGCCAGTAAATAATCAGGATCAGTATCAGGATAATAGGCTGTGTAGTTTCATAAAAAATATTATATAAAGATGTTTATTATGATTACAGCTACGACATGATCATAGTCAAAATTTAAAATGTGGTTGCAGATATTTTTCTGAATTAGATGCTTGAGGTGTAAAACTAATATCATATTGCAGTATTTAACTAATTCTACAGCTTAACTATTTTGTAAATCTCTAATGGGGAGTGTTCCTAAACCACTGCCTCTAATAACGGTAAGAAATCAACAAATAGGCATTCAAAAAATCAATAAAAATAAGCTAAATCAGGCTGTAAACATGAAAAAGCTAACTGAATCACAAAACAAAATGGCTCACCAGACACGGCGAGGTGAAACCAAACCTTTAAACCGCTTCGGCTTTATACAAAATTATTATTAAATCATGAGTCGGCTTAGAGGGGGGCACCCATAAATGACATCAGGCAAATTGTGCTGACATTTGACATCCTCTACCCACATTATAACCAAAAGTTAGACCACCTTCATATATAACATCACAAACCTCTGCACCACCCCGTATATATAAAAAAAATCTCTCTGTCCACCACTGTCCTTTACAAACCCTTAAAAATTCACCTCCCAAGAATATCAAATTACTTCCCCTGTGTCAGAAACATTTTCCTATTCAGTTGATCTTAACTAGGCGTGACAACACCCACTGTGGTGTGGAAGATCCAGAAAATTGTATTTGCTGCCATTGCTAGTTATTGCTGCCATTAAAAAAAATTACTTTTAAACATTTTGACTAGCAGCAGTAAATGTTTTTTTCTGGGCAATTTCGTTAGCACATTACTTCTATTTCTACTGTTAATTTTTTTCTTGTTCCTGGAAAGTTAACCCTTACAGCACCCAAGCGTGTCTTCTTTCACCAGCCAATTTTTTTCCCTGTGGCTTAAGTGTGTCTATTTGCCATATAGAGGGGTATCTAAAATAAACAGAAAAACAAGTATATAAACTTTCACAACAGTCTCGGGCAGAATGTTTATTCGTTAGGGGAATAGTAGAATTTTATTTTGCCTTTTAAATTATGAAAATCTAACAATTACTGAGTTTTTTGTGCGGAGACAGAAGCCAGTGGAAGTAAAAAACAAAAGAAATAAACCATTGTCTGATTGTTATTGCATTAAACTTTTTTTTTGCGTATAATCAATGTTCTTTTTTTTTATTAATGATATATTTTTTTTATTAATGATATGATGTCTTTAGTCATCATCTTCATTATCTTCACCTACATAATTAGCAGCTTCATTTGTTCTTCTTACAAATCTTTATTTCTTTAATCTATTCTTAGAATCTTTTCTATTCTTGTCTAATTGTTGTATTGCATTAATGTATTGTATTGCTCTATCCTTAATTTTATACACAACAGAAACTACAATGTCAACAAAAACAACACTAGTATATTCTACTAATATCATCAACAGCAACATCTACACAAATTAGAAATAAGACACTTAAAAAAAAGTATCCCTGTTAAACCAATTTGTGCATAGGGCCAGAGAATCAACGTTTACAATGTTTCTTAGTCATGGTGGCCGAGTGGCAGTGCTCGACTGTGCCCAGGTTCAAATCCTGGTCAAGGCTAGGATTTGTTCCTGGGTCTTTAGGCTGTCCCTGAATCTACCCAGCTTTGATGGGTACCTGACAAAAATTAGGGCAAAGTAAGAGCGGCTGGGCACTGTGCTGGCCACACTATCCCCTAGTGTGCCATTCCCAATGAAAGGAGTGAACAAAATACATTTTTAACACACTTATCCATTTCTGAACAGATAATTCTCTTCATATTATTATCAATTGTTTAAAACAAAAAAGTTACAAAATAATTTGCCAATCTATCAATTTTGCCTCATTCCAAAATAATGTCTGGGCCACCGGCAAAATAATAGCCAGTACTGAGGCTTTACATAGCAAAAAAGTAGGTCATTACTAGAAGAGATAATAAAAGAAATACAACTACAATAACTAAATAAATAGTTTAATTATTTTCATTTAAAACATTTTATTACTATATAATTTATACCGGTATGTGGGAGTGGGTTTGCAGGAAATGTTTTGAAAATGAGAGAGGATTCAATGCTACAAAATTGTTAAGAATCCCTGCCCTAGAACATTTTCTAAGATCCACCCCCCCCCCCACCACCACCACCGGTCAAATAAGAAAAGGGCCTGTAACTTGACCAGAGGCCTTTTTTCAGACCACACATACCTGAATTTTTCCCTCAATGAATTTAGTTTAAAAAAAAAAAATACAAAATTGTTAAGAAACCCTGCCCTAGAACATTTTCTAAGATCCCCCCCCCCCCCCCACCACCACCACCGGTCAAATAAGAAGAGGGCCTGTAACTTGACCAGAGGCCTTTTTTCAGACCACACATACCTGAATTATTCACTCAATGAATGTAGTTTAAAAAAATAAAATATTTATAATTATTATATAAAAGAATAATGTTAAAGTGTCTCTTATTTAGTAAGATTGAATGCACTTTTTTTCAATAATGTTCTGCTTTTTATCAGAGTCATGAATGTGAACACAAAAGCAAATAATCATAATCCATTGTTAGGAGCTCTGACTTCGCCATGACCATGATGTGAATGCAATAAGTTAAGCCAACTCATGCCATTGACATGTCGTGTCCATGAGCAGGCTTATTAACGGCTTATTTAATACACTTTTAGTACTTTTAACACATAATGATATGCCGATCATAAATAATTTCATAGGCAGCTTAGGCTAATCAAATAATAGAATAAACTTTAAGTATAGTTATAACAGAAATGGCCCATTGAATGGCGACTAACCTAGAGTAGCCTAGCCTAATCTTATTTAATTTTTCTATTTTAATGGTTACCACTCACTTGAGTCTACTTGCCTTGATTGGTAGTTTTCATTCACTAACTCATTTTAATGATTCAAATGATGTAAAAAAATAATCAGAAAGTGATTAAAAATGGCCTTACACGTATTATTAAGGCGAATGTCAACTGACGAATTATTATTGTGAAATTCAATTGAATAAATTTTAAAACTGAGAAAAAAAGAGATAGGCCAAAACTTTGATTGATAGAATTGCAAGGATGTCAATATTGAATCCTTATAGAATAACTATTTCAGTATAAGTTTATCCTTCATTTTGGGTTATAGGTTTTGCTACAGCCAATATAGTTGTTAATAATGCAGATACAGGGAGTATTTCTGACTCATAATAAATCACTAATTCCTGCCATCTTTGTTTTTAACGTTGTTCACTAATGTAGTTAAGTTATTTAACTTTTCAATTGAAAAGTACAAAATTTAGTGCGAAATGGACATATTTTTATGGTCCATTGTTAAATGTAAATAAATGGTTTTAATGAATAAAAGATCATATTTATTATTATTTTAAGGGCGCAGATGTTACCCGGTCCTATAAAATTTTGATTTAATCAGGGTGAGGGGGAGGCATGGGCGCAGCAGAAAACTTTCTAAAGTGGGGGGGGGGGGCAAAAAA